GGCAGCAGGCAGAGGGTGGTGCAGAGATCAAAGGTTTGGGTGGAAAAATGTTCAGTTTAGGTGCTTCTGAGATAGCCAGGTAAAAAAGTGAGAAGAAGAGATGTATTTTTGAATCTGAAGCTCAGCGAGAGGTCACAAAATTTGGAATTGTCATCATATTTGAAATGAAGTGGATGAGCTCTCCAAGAAAGAGGATTTGAAGAGTGAGACGGATTCATAAAGAATTGCGACGTTTAGAAATAGAATATGAGAAATGGGATATGCAGAGACAAGCGGAAATAAGGAAGAGTAGCCAGAAAAGATAGAAGGAAACCAAGAGGGTGTCAAACCTGGAGAACTGAAAGATGAGAAGGGATGCCACCTAGGCTTAATTGGCTTGTAGGGAGGTCATGGTCACCTTAGCAAGGTTACTAGAATTACGAGAAATATACTGAAGGGTGAGTGAGTGGGAGGATGTGGTGACAGCAGGAGAAGAAAATTCCTTCCAGAAGCTTGGCACCGCAGAAAAGTAGAGAGGTAGGGCCCTACTAGAGGGAGTAGGAGGGTGGAATGTGAGACCATTTGGTCGTTTGGTTTCTTTTGGGAATTTTCTTTTTGGATGGATGATACTAGGGCATTTTTTTTTTCATGCAATTAGAAAAAATTCAGTAGAAGGGCCAAAGAATATTACTGTCTTCTAGCTTGCTAGCAACTGATGGTTTTTAGCAGACTGGTGGATAGTACTCAGTAGTCACAAATACTTATGCTAAGTAGGACCCACTTCTCCTATAAATTTACATTTGGAATATAAAAGAAAAAAAGGTTGGTGTTAAAAAGTTTGTTCATTTGAGTCCTATATCCTCGTTAGACAGGTAAATGGTATGGAGAGGTTTTCTTTTATGAAGTGCTTTGTTATTCTGTAGGAATCCTGTCTTACACATAAATGACAGAAATTTATATTAAGCATTTTCCTTCACTAAATCTTTAGTTTGTGTCTTTTAATAAAATGCCACTGAATTTTCATGTCAGCAAGAGAGGTAGGTAAATTTGAATACAGAAACTAATTTAGCAGTCATTTAGTTAGGAGATGGAGATTTTAGAGCTGCCACTTCTAAAAGTGGAAAAGATGAGGATTAACTGACTTTTTTTTCTTACTTCTGCGGAATAAAAAATTAGAGCTGAAAAGGATCAAAGCCCAAAATGCATGACAATGGCCGTCTTTTTATAGGTGAATTAGATTGGAGATTGTGAAGATGATTTCATTCACACCTGCACAGGCATCCTTTGAAGCTCATTACTTTTTCTTTTGGTGTTCATTTAATAAATATATTCCTGGGAGAGGCATATTGAAGTATGATTTACGTTTCTTTAAAAAAAATTAAGGACTCCTCTTGCCATCTGCCTAGCATACTTATGAATGTCCTTACCCCAACTTTTAGGATTTAGAGTTTCTAGGAATCCAAACCTTTAAAGCCTGAGCGAAACACAATTGTAAGGTAAATTTAGTATAAAGAAAGGACAGTTTCAGTAAAAACTAAGCATAAATACATTTTGTATCACTTTCTATTTGGGATTTCAAGTGATGATATTTGCTTCCAGTAACCCAAATAATTGGCAGATAGTTTGGTGCAAAGTGAACCTATCAGAAGAGACGGGAACTTTGGAAAACAATAGTCTTTAGTTAGTTGGAAAGGGAAGGCTGTGATTTTAAATGGCAAGCACCATCCTAGAAAGCAAGGAATAAGTATAAGAAAAAGAAGAACCAAAGCAGTGTAAATATCTTGAAAATCTAGTTTAAAATAAATGTTTTGGCATTTGGGTTTAAGAGTGAAGGGGCACACTATAAACTTACTAAAATAATGAGTTGAAGTTAGTCGTATTTTATTGTCTTGTCTTGTCTTGTATTTATTTTTTTGAGACAGAGTCTCTCTGTGTCACCCAGGCTGGAGCACAGTGGTGCGATCTCGGCTCACTGCAACTTCTGCCTCCTAGGTTCAAGAAATTCTTGTGCCTCAGTCTCCCAAGTAGCTGGGATTACAGGCAAGCACCACCACGCCTGGTTAATTTTTGTATTTTTAGTAGAGACAGGGTTTCACCATGTTGTTCAGGCTGGTGCTGAACTCCTTACCTCAAGTGATCTGCCCACCTGGGCCTCCCAAAGTGCTGGGATTACAGGCGTGAGCCACTGCGCCCAGCCAGACATATTGTATTTAGATGTTTATAATAGTTTCCCATTACAAATCAGGTTATTGCTTGCTTACACTGGTATATGGGTAGGGAAGAGGAAACAAGTTTTGAAATAGAATTTGCTGATCTGGGCCATCCATACTGGTTTATTTGTAGGAATAATAAGAGCTTATGTCCTTTGAGAAATGTGGAATTAGATATTGATTCTAGTGAGATTCCAGCATTAAAAAACTGTTCATTTCAAAGTTTTATTACTTTATCTGTCAGTAGCCTTGACAGTTTTATTTTATTAAAATTGGCCAAAACGGCAATGGTTTGCATTTATTATGTTATGCCTTTAGTGCTGGAAAATTAATATACCTAGGAAATACGTGACAAGGGCATAGTAGATTATTTTGAGGTATGAGCTGCTGTGATTTGTGTGATATACAGCAGGTAAGGTATTATATGGTATAGTCATAGATGATAATGGTACATTATTTTGTTCTTTAGATAGTTGGTAGGTGGTTGTTGGACTCTATCCATTTTATTTAGCGTGTGTACTGCTGGCTCTCTGCTTTGGAGGTGGTCCTGGATTTAAGACAAAAGCAGATGCAAAATGGTTTCCCGACTAGGATGATAACACTAAAATCATGGGATATTCATTTTCTCAGGAAATAGAATGAGCAATTTCCTGAGCTAAAGTTGTTGATTTCTGCCTCACGTCACAGTCCAGAGTAGGTGGGTCGTGGTCCAGGAAGTCATCCAGAGACGCATGCTGGAGCGGGTGGCTCTGTCATTCCCCTGAATGTGACATGTCCAGGATTGGGTTTAAGACCTGCATATCCAGCCAGTGGGAAAGGGAAATCTAGGGCAAGTGGCTTTGTCTTTCTGAAGATGACCTAAACATTGAGTGCATTTTTTTTTTCTGTTGTCTCCTTGGTCCAGTCTTAATCCACAGCCACAGCTCATTGTAGTCTCAAGCTGGGTGAAGGGCACCTGCTAAATCTGAAAGCTTAGTTACCAAAAGAAGATGGAGAACATGGATTCCAGAGAGCATATTTCCAGCACAGACTAGGAGCTCCTTGAGATGGGGGGTAGTGGTTACAACAGATGCATCTCTTTTCTAAACCACAAGCAGTGCTTGGCTTATATTTGGTACTCAGTAAGTGTTTGGTGCGTTGAATTGACTATTAAAGCTAATTCTTTCCCTTCCCAAAGATGGAATTTGATCAAAGGCTCCAAATTCTGCAGCGCCCCACGACCTTTCCTCCTCCTCCACTGTTTTCTCTATATATTTAGGCCATTTTCCAGGATAAGCATACAAAAGAGAATATAATATTTACTTTTAAGATTTGCTTGAAAATCTAAAATGCATTATAACAGGAAAAAAGAAAGTCTGTTCATTTTATTTGCATCACTACCTTTCTCTGTATTTGGACTTGATATTTACATATGCTTCGGGCAACTAAGCACATGCCAAATTGATACATCTCTTTTATTCAACAGAACGAATATCTGGTGATTGTGAAAGTAATCCTAAATAGAAAACACAGATATAGCATTTAGTTTATAACCTAGATTGGTATTTGTGATGTTCCCTTTTTCTTCAAATTATTAAATATATTTATATATATATAGTGAAGATGGGAACTAAGACGTTACTAGTTTTATTTTTGCACAATTCTATATTATACCAATTATATAATTTGCTTAAAGCACTACACTAGTCCTTTGCTTATATTTTTACTATAAAATTAGAATTAGGAAAGGAAATTATATGACAATAATGAAATATTTGTACTTGAGATACTTATTCCATATACCTAAGATAAGAAATTGCTTAAAATGACATGGTATCTATTTGGCATAATAGCAGCTCTCTTGCTACTTAGAGCAAAAATCTGCTTTTAAAACATAGTGGCGTATCTTATTAGTAGGAGAAAAATGTAATAGCAAGAAATAAGTTATTTAGGTATTATCATGTTCAGTGTCCTCATTTGGCACGTGTGGAAACCGAGGCACGAAATCCTGAAACATCTTGACTTGCAATCTTTGGGAAGATGGTCATATTTTAGAAGGTCTTTTTAAAGGATGTATCAGCAGATGATTATATATTAAGATCTGTTGTTTGAGTTCCTTATGAGATATGAGATAAACTTACCCTTCAACACTCAAGGGAAATAGGGGGAAGCCAGGAAGAAGATGAGAATTAACTTGGGAGGGAGGGAGAGGTGATCCTGCCTGTGCCCCTCCAGCTATGGCCAGTGGAACAGATCCCGAGTCCCTGAAGAGGCTGCTGTTGTAGCTCGGTTGCTGACTCAAAGAGGGATAACTGGATTAGGAGAAAGCACATGGGAAAGGCATTTGTTCCTTGAAGTGTCTGTAGATTCGGGGGGTTGGGAGGACCCCTGTGTAGAGATAGGGAGGGGGAGGGAAATGAGAAAGAATGTGTGCTTCCATTATTAAATCATTCAAGCGATTGAAATATATATGCAGGTGATACAGCAAATTTTTTAAATTGAATATAAGATACTTCATTATTATGACATTTCTTTAATGTCATTTCACATTAAATGTTGTGGCAAAAATCTAATAGGAATAAAGCCTGTGATCATTACAAATCAACTTTTCCTCCCAGATAAATGTTAGTTTTGAGCCCCTGGTGGGCACCCATCTCAGTGGTGAAGTTGACAAGTCATCTGTCGGGTGTGTGGAATAGGATAGGGTTTGGTAGCATCTCCCTCTCTCCTTGTGGTTCTCTTGAGCTGTTCACAGTGAGCATCCTAGTTTTCTTGCAGAGGGAAGGTAGCTGCACGGAGTGACCTGATCTTCCCTTTTTTTTCTGCTTGCAGAACAATCAACCATGACGACCGAATCTGGATCAGACTCGGAATCCAAGCCGGACCAGGAGGCCGAGCCCCAGGAGGCGGCGGGGGCGCAAGGGCGCGCGGGGGCGCCCGTGCCGGAGCCGCCCAGCGAGGAGCAGCAGCAGGCCCTGGAGCAGTTCGCCTCTGCTGCAGCGCACAGCACCCCGGTGCGGAGGGAGGTGAGCCCAGGCCAGAAAACTAATGACTCCGTGTTTGCTGAGCTGCTCCAGGATCATCTTTAACCTTGGTCTCTCAGCCCTAGAGGCAGCTATGAGGGGTCATCCGTTGTTCCCATTCTAGCCCCAGGCAGATGAAAATGTATGCTATTTTAAGGCTTTCAGTGAATGACATTCCACAACCTTGCCTGGTAACTCCTTCTTTTAATAAACACTGAAACTCACTGAAGTCCAGGCTGGAGATTATTGGTCCTATCTGGATTTAGAGGAAAGATAGACAGCAAACTGACAGCTTTAATTATGCTTGTGGTTGTTTTTTCTTTCAAGCCTAAGGGCTAGAGTGAGTTTGCATTTCCCCAGGCATCGCCCTGACCCTAATGTTGCAGATCTGCTTTTATTATTATTATTATCATCATCATCATTATTATACTTTAAGCTCTGGGATACATGTGCAGAACGTGCAGGTTTGTTACATAGGTATACACGTGCCATGGTGGTTTGCTGCACCCATTAACCCATCACCTACATTAAGTATTTCTCCTAATGCTATCCCTCCCCTAGCCCTCCAGCTCCCGACAGGCCCCAGTGTGTGATGTTCCTCTCCCTATGTCCGTGTGTTCTCATTGTTCGACTCCCAGTTATGAGTGAGAACATGCGGTGTTTGGTTTTCTGTTCCTGTGTTAGTTTGCTGAGAATGATGGTTTCCATCCATGTCCCTGCAAAGGACATGAACTCATCCTTTTTTGTAGCTGCATAGTATTCCATGGTTTTTTAGCAGATCTTCAGGTAGGTCTTTCCCTCCCTGTACACATCTATATTTTCAACTCTTTTCCCTGTACATGTTTGAATAATCAGGAATAATGCATTTCTTTTCAAAGCTTTAAAGGATGGTTTACCTGCAGGCCTTGAATAAGTCCATATTTAAATGTCTTTTGTCTTAAAACTTCAAACCTGGAATCAAAATGTTTTAGAGTGCCAGTCTGTATGCAGTAAAGCAATCTGGTGTCCCCACAAGTGATTGGCCTCTTATATGTCCGAAGTGTTTCACACTAGAAATCCTAAGATGTTGAGAGAAGAGATATAATTCAGCGTATTAGTGAAAATCTTTGGAAGTCACAACATTAAACTATATATTTGCAACCTGATTATTTTATTTCTTTACCTAGAGTATTTGCAGATTTGCCTTTTTTTTTTTTTCCAATTTTATTCTTACTAAAAATTTGAGGCCGGGCACAGTGGCTCACGCCTGTAATCCCAGGACTTTTGGGAGGCCGAGGAGGGTGGATCACCTGAGATCAGGAGTTTGGGACAGCCTGACCAACATGGTGAAACCCTGTCTCTACTAAAAATACAAAGATTAGCTGAGTGGTGGCGCACGTCTATAATCCCAGCTATTCGGGAGGCTGAGGCACGAAAATCCCTTGAACCTGGGAGATAGAGGTTTCAGTGAGCTGACATTACACCACTGCACTCCAGACTGGGCGACAGAGCAAGACTCTGTCTCAAAAAAAAAAATTTTTTTTTGAGGTAAAATATACATATAAAACTTACCATCTTTTTTAAGTGTACAGTTTAGTGATAATAAGTACATTTATATATTTGTATAAAATATGCATTTTATATTACATATATTTATATTTTTTAAAAATTCCTTTCATCACTCCTCCTCCCTACCCTTCTCCCTATCCTTCTCCCTATCCTTCCCAGCCTCAGATAATCACCGCTACTCCCCATCTTCATGAGATCCCGTTTTAGTCCCCATATATGAGTGAGAAGATGCGGTATTTGTCTTTTGGTGCTTGGCTTGTTTCACTTAACATAACAGCCTCTAGTTCCATCCGTGTGGGTGCAGATGACAAGATTTCATTCCTTTTTTCTGGCTGAATAATATTCCATTGTGTATATATACCACTTTCTAAAAAATTCATTCTTCTGTTGATGGGCATTTAGGTTGATTTCATATTTTGGCTGCTGTGAATGGTACTGCAGTAAACACTGGAGTGCAGATGGCTTTTCTATATATCAATTTCCTTTCTTTCGGACGTATATCCAGTAATGGAATTGCTGGATCATATGATAGTTCTATTTTTAGTTTTTGAGGAACCTCCATTCTGTTTTTCCCAGTGGCTGTACTAATTTACATTTATGAGGATTGTCCTTTCTCCACATCCTTGCCAGCATCTATTACTGCCTGTCTCTTTGACATATGCTGTTTTAACTGGGGTGAGATCATATCTCAGTTGTAGTCTTGATTTGTGATTAATTTGTGATTAGTTAGTGACAGTGAGCATTTTTTTCATATACCTATTGGCCATTTGTATGTCGTCTTTTGAGAAATATCTGTGCAGATCTTTTGTCCATTTTTATTTTCTCTAACTGTTGAGTTGTTTGAGTTCCTTAGATATTGTGGTTAATAATACCTTGTCAGGTAGACACTTTGCAATTTTTTTCTCCTATCCTGTAGGCTCTTTGTTAATTTTTTCCTTTGCTGTGCAGAAGTTTTTTTGGCTGAATGTAATCCCATTTGTCTATTTTGGTTTTGATTGATGCTTTTGAGGTCTTATACACAAAAAAACTTTGCTCAGACCAATCTCCTGGAGCATTTCCCCAGTGTTTTCTTCTGGTGGTTTCATAGTTACATGTCTTACATTTTTAAGTCTTTAATCCATTTTGATTTGATTTCTGTGGATGGTGAGAAATACGGGTCTAATTTCATTGGTCTCATATAGTTATCCAGTTTTCCCTACACCCTTTACTGAAAAGACTGTTCCCCACTGAATGTTCTTGGCACCTTTGTCAAAGATGAGTTGGCTGTATATGTGGATTTATATCTGGATCCTCTATTCTGTTCCATTGTTTATGTGTCTACTTTTATGCCAGTACCATGCTGTTTTGGTTATTATAGCTTTGTAGTAAATTTTGAAGTCAGGTAGTGTGATGCCTCCAGCTTTGTTCTTTTTAGTCAGGATGAGTTTGGCTATTCGGGGTCTTTTGTAGTTCCATGTAAATTTGAGGACATTTTTTCTAATTCTGTGAAGAGTGTCATAGGTATTTTGTTAGGGATTCCATTGGATTTGTAAATTGCTTTGGGTAGTATTGCCATTTTAACAGTATTAAGTCTTCTAATCCATGAGCATGGAATATCCTTCCATTTTTTTGTATTGTCTTCAATTTTTTTCATCAGAGTTTTATAGTTTTCCTTACATCAATCTTTCACTTCTTTGGTTAGATTGCTTCCTAGGTATTTTATGTTTTGTAGCTGTTGTAAATAGGATTGCTTCTTGATTTCTTTTTCAGATAGTTCACCATTGGCAAGTTTAAACACTGCTGATTTTTGTATGTTGATAAATTCTGCAATTTCACTGAATTCATCTATCAGTTCTCACAGTTTTTTGGTGGAGTCTAGGTTTTTCTAGGTATAAGATTATGTCATCTGTGAACAAGGCTAAGTTGACTTCTTCCTTTTCAATTTGGATACTCTTTCTTTCTTTTACCCAATTGCCCCAGCCAGGACTTCCAGTATTATGTTGTATAATACTGAAAGTAGGCATCCTTTACTTGTTCTGGTCCTTAGAGGAAAGGCCTTCAGTTTTTCACAATTCAGCACAATGCTAATGTGGGTTTTTCATATATGGCATGTATTATTTCGGGGTATGTTCCTTTTATACTGATTTTGATGAGGATTTTTAATCATAAAGGCATGTTGAATATCAGATGCTTTTTGGAGTCTGTTGAAATAATCATGGTTTTTGTTCTTGATTTGGTTCATGTGATATATCATGTTGATTGATTTGCGTATGTTGAACCATCTGCATCCCTAGGATGAATCACATTTAATCATGGTGAACGATCTTTTCAGTCCCCTTTTTAATGTGTTGTTGAATTCGGTTTGCTGGTATTTCACTGAGGATTTTTGCATCAATGTTCATCAGTGATATTGGCGTGTAGTTTTTGTTTCTGTTGTCACTTTGTCTGCTTTTGGTATCAGAGTAATATTGGCCTTGTAGCATGAGTTTGGAAGTATTCCCTCCTCTTCAATTTTTTTTTTTTTTTTGAAGAGTTTGAGTAGGATCAGTATTAGTTTTCTTTACATGTTTGACAGAATTCAAGTGAAGCCTTCAGGTCCCGGACTTTTTTTGATAGAAGACTTTTTATTATAGCTTTGATCTCATTACTCGTGACTATTTTGTTGAGGTTTTCTGTTTCTTCATATTTCTTTCTTGGTGGGTTGTATGTGTCTAGAAATTTATCCATTTCTTCTGGGTTTTCCAATCTGTTGCCATATAGTTGTTCATAATAGTCGCTAATGAGTCTTGATATTTCTTAGGTCCCAGTTGCTATGTCTCCTTTTTCATGTCTGATTCTATTTATTTGGATCTTCTCTCTTTTTCTTAGTCTAGCTAAAGGTTTGTCGATTTTGTTTATCTGTTCAAAAAATCACCTCATTGCTTTGTTGATCTTCTGTATTTTTTTTGGTCTCAGTTTCATTTATTTCTGCTCTGATCATCATCGTTTCTTTTTCTTCTAATTTTGGGTTTGATTCATTCCTGCTTTTCTAGTTCCTTGAGGTGCATCATTGAGTTATTTATTTGAAGGCTTTTTACTTTTTTGATATAGACATTTATTGCTCTCCACTTCCCTCTTAGTACTGTTTTTGTTACATCACACAGATTTTTTTGTCTTGTATTTCCATTTTCACTTGTGTTTCAGGAATTTTTTAGTTTACTTCTTAGTTTCTTCACTGACTTATTGGTCATTCAGGGCATGTTGTTTAATTTCCATGTGTTTGTGTATTTTCTGAGGTTCCTCTTACTGATTTCTAGTTTTACTCTATTGTGGTCAGGAAAGATACTTGATATGATTTTTTTTTCTGGCTTTTTTTTTTTTTTTTAAGTTTGTTTGGACTTGTTTTATAGCCTAAGACATGGTCTGTTCTGGACAATGTTCCGTATTCTGATGAAAAGAATGTATTCTGCAGCAGTTGGGTGAAATGTTGTGTAAAT